GGAGGGCTACAAAGATGATGAGGGGACTGGAGCATCTCTCCTATGAAGAAAGGCTGAGAGAGCTGGGCCTGTTCAGCCTGGAGAAGAGAAGACTGAGGGGGGATCTGATCAGTGTGTACAAGTATCTGAAGGGAGGGTGTCAAGAGGATGGGGCCAGGCTCTTCTCCGTGGTGCCCAGCAACAGGACAAGAGGCAATGGGCAGAAACTGAACCACAGGAAGGTTCATCTGAACATGAGGAGAAACTTCTTCACTGTGAGGGTGACAGAGCCCTGGCACAGGTTGCCCAGAGAGGTAGTGGAGTCTCCTTCCCTGGAGATATTCAAAACCCGTCTGGATGTGATCCTGGGAAATATGCTCTAGAGGACCCTGCTTGAGCAGGGAGGTTGGACTAGATGATCTCCAGAGGTCCCTTCCAACCTCAACCATTCTGTGATTCTGTAATTACCGCTATACAAAGCTCTTGCCACTAATCAACGTAGTATTCTTGCTTACAATCAGTGTGGGTACCTGATGCTGCTGCAGTCTGTTACATACTAAAAAAACCTCCATACTCTGTAAGTGGAAATAGCTTTTTTTTTTTATTTACATACAACTCAACCCTCACAGCAGCCTTAAAATAAGCAAATGATCATTTGTAGAGAAGTGTTTGTATTTATAAAGCAGATATTTATTTATAAATTAAGAAACAGTTATTAATGAGTTTTGACTGTCAAATGAATTATGACTATGTAATAACTAACCAACAAAGCAGGAATTAGAGCACTGACTTCCAGGCCTACCTTTGGGACAACTTACCACAGTAAGCAAACTTGAGTGACAATACACAGCTCTCATGAAGGTGCAGTTGATATTTGTCTGGTTTATTTACATGTAGCACTTCTACATTGCTGCTCTCCATTCCCACAGCTAGCCATTCACCAGTAGGACAATAACCAAGGGAGAGCAATGTCACTCAGGCTATCATATTGTTCCAGAAGCTAAATATACGAAAGCTCCAAAATATTGTGTTGTGAGCAGCCAAAACAAACAGAAGGAACCATTTCCCAGTTGTACTGTGCTCAGTTCTCAACTAACATTTTTTCTTTTCCTCTCAAGTTGTAGGAAAATTCAGTTACCTGTGACGTGAAGTCGTGCTGTTGTAGCTGTCTCCCCTCTCTCAAGTCCCAGGATCTGACAGTGTTGTCCAAACCTCCTGTCCAGAGCTTGGTGCCATCATTAGAAATGTCAATACAGCTGGCTCCGTCTGTGTGGCCCTGGAATTGCCTGATAAAACAAACCAGATTGAACAATGATTTCCTGCCAGAGCTCAAGGTAAACACTGTTGTGGTGTTAGTTTTGGACTCTGTCCATGTGTGTCATCTCTTCTGTGTCTGCTGATGGGCAAAAAATCAGCCCCTCCCTCTGACTAGGCATGAAATACAACAGTATTACAAAAACATTTTCCAGGTGCTAGAAGTGAATTGCATCACAGATAACTGGACAAACTCAAACGTTTCCTATCAGGTCTTGAAAAGTAAGAGAGCTTGCAAGAAACCTAAAGTACACTAACTATACTTGAAAGTACTAGTGAACAACTCTGATTAAAACAAGTGTTCAGGGAACAAAATTCCCCCAATCTCAGAAAACAGCTTCTGGATTTTGCTTTAACTATAAGTCAAGATGATAAATAGTTGGCAGAAACATTAATAGGAAGGGATCCAGATAGTTAAGCGCAAGCATTACTGGGTCAACAAAGTTACATTCTCTATGGCAGACCACAAAATAACTAAACAGTGCATTTTGTTTTAAAATCTTCTCATTAGAAATTCCCTTTCAGAAATGAAAAGGTCAACTCGAATTTTCCTTAATCCTTTGGCAGAAGACTGAAGCTCCTGCATTTTTCAATCAGCAATTAGCTTTAGCAAAGTCCTGTGCCTCAATGTCAAAGGTGGGGGGGAAATAAACTAGTTTGGGAATGAAGGGTAGGAATCACTAAGAGCTGCCACAGAAAGGTCATGTGGCACATTTTGTTTTGTAGCACTGGTCTGAAAATTCCACACGTTATCAATTAACAAGATCAGCAAGCAAGTGGCAGGAACACTTACAACAAACACTAGAAGGAATAAGTAGTAACTTGTACCATTCATTGAAGACCATCTTAGATGTAGAAGGAATTCACCTTTACCAAGACTAAGCACAAATACGGCAAACTGAAGATGTCATATACCAAAAATCTTATTCATGGACCTAAAAGTTTTAGTAGAAAGTCAAGTTTGCAAGCGCATCAATATGAATCTCACTGCATAAGTTTAGGTCAATTATTGATATACAGGAAATCCAGCTGAAATACAGCAGACAAAGCAACTTCTCCAGTTTATATATTCAAAACTTTCTAAAAATCAGCCTTTCCTTTCTCAGACTATTCTAAGCCACCACAGCTTTGGTAAGCATAAACCAAAATTTATCTTTTAGGTATCTCATCTTTTAAAACTAGTTGCTATGAGCCACTTCACACATAGCCCTATCTTTTTCAGTCATAGTACTAATGCTGAATATTGCCCTGCCAGAAACTTTAATCTTCTACTAAGATATTCATTAATCAAAGGTTTAACCAAAGAGATTTCAAAAGTAACTTATGCTAGACATTGATCACACTCTCTGCAACCCATTCTGAAAGTTCTATAGATCAAATTCCCCAAAAAAAACCCTCAAATACCTTTCTCATGAACAACAAAACAGTCCTTTATGCTTTCCTAAAAAAATGGGGGAATCTACACTTTCACTTTTGTGCAACTATTATTTATCATCATTAAGCATTGAAAACTCTATTATTGAATAAGGCTTAAAATAGGGCAAAAGAACAAACCTGTTTCCTACCAAGTTTGTTCAGTCTACATTAACCACAAACCAGAAACTAGTAGAAATGCTACTTGTAGCAGCCTGCAGACAAATCTCAACTGACTGAAACCAATAGGAGTTTTTACACTGATTTCAACAGATTACAGAACAGCCCTTTATGTCCTGGAAGAACATCTTACAGGACTGGCTGAAGCTACTAAACCTAGTTTCTACTCAACTTGGGTTCAAACTGCATTCTTTGGATTTACTTGGCCGTCATGACCCATTATACAGGGAGATAAATATTTATCTAGCTATCCAAAGAGTAACTTTAATACAAGTATTCTGTAAACAAGTAATGACTCACCTGACCAACGTCTGATTGTGCAGATCCCACACTGCAATGTTCCCATCACTACAGCAGGAAAAGCACACCTTGGAGTCAGGGCTGATAGCCAGAGCATAGCAGGCAGGGGCTGAAGATGTCAGCTCTGCTTTTATACGAGGAGTTGGTGCTGCAAGGTCCCATATGGATAATGTACTGGCTTCCCCACCAACAATCAGGGTGCATCCATCAGGCAGCAATTTACAAGACCGGATGTAGTTATCTCTGTTCTGTACAACATAAGTCATCCCTGTTATGTTAATACACGCCTGCCAATAATGACCACCAATATGATTCTGACTGCATCCAAATTTTAAATAGGAGACTATTTTTCCAGTACCAAAGTACAGAAAAGAAACCAGCAGACCCTAAAGGGTTTCAAACATGTGTCTCATCACTAACCAGAGATTACAGCTGCAGAAATTAAACTACAGATTCATATTGCCAGTCTACTCCATTTTGAACCTGATGAATGGCAATTGTTCCATCTTATTACATAAAGACAGAGCCAAAATAAGCTTGCATTTGTGCAAGTGCACTCCTTTAGCTAATATCACTGATACTATAGTAATATTTCCAAAAAAGCAAATGAACTCTCATTTTGGCATTGAAGAAATCGTTTCTGAAAAAGTAGTTCAAGTCCCATGCCTTTGAGGTTCTGGGGCTTTCCTTTAAACGTTATTTTGTGTTCACAATTTTTAAGTAAAAATATTCAATATTTTATAGCCTTACGCATGTTAACTTGGATTTATACTGGTCCTTTGTTGTTCAGCATGATTCTTGTATTAATGGTTTCACGTTTGTGATATGATTGCTGACTGAGAAGTACTATAGGGATTTAAAGATGGAAAAAATTTCAGCCTTCATTTATTACAGGCTTGACTCCATAAGCATATTGGATGTGAATTTCTCCATACAAGCTGCCAAATTAATACAGAAGAGTTCTTTAGAAGACAGAAGAATAAGATCTGTAACTTAAAACAAAAAACACTCTAAGAAGTCAACACTATGTTTTACTTTTTCTTATTACACCAAAGGAAAAGTAAGCTGTGTGGTAGAAATGTTGGCTGAGTTACTGGCAGCCACACAGCTTTATAACTTAAAGGCAGCTAGGACTAGTACATCCAGAGAAGTACCTGCTGCAAAACAGAATACATATTCAGTCATACTTTTACTACTAGACAGCTAAAATGGGGGCAGCAGTAAAAAAAGAGCAAAGGCTTAGAAAAACACATTTATTTTGATCAATACTTAAACAAATATTACTTCATTCAGAATTTATATTGCTGAACTTTATGACATTAAGTCTTAGTTAACATCATTCCACTTATTTGTCTCTTTCCAAATGCCTACTTGCCAGAAGAACCTTTTATTGAGGTTCACTGCATAAAAATTCTCAGCTAACTAGACTACTGAACTCCATCTGTTTGGTAACCAGTAGAGGTGAAAAACAAACAAACAAAATGTATAACATTCAGAACAGCAACAGAAGCTTAGCAAAACTTAAAGTGATCTTGATACCTTGTTATATTATTTCATTATATGGTTGCTATTCCCTTAAAGTTATTTCTGGCATGAGTTAAACACCTTGGAATGTTCTGGGTAGTTCTGTATAAGCCTGGCTATATTCCTTTTAAACTCATGCAGTAGGAAAACCATGAACATGAATGGAAAAAAAAAAAAAAAAATCACCCACCCACGCTCAGGTACATTGTTTGCTCAGAAGTCCTAATATATTATTTGACCCTTAACGATGATATTTATCCCTAAACAAACCAGGATTCTTCCATTGTAACAGCACCTGTTTAGTTAAACAAACAAACCCAACAGACAGCTAAAGCAGGAAACAGAACTGCCTATTTCCTTGTAATATGAATAAAGTCCAGACAAGGACAACCATTTCCTTATCGAGTCTCCAAGGAGAAGTTACCTTGTGCATAAGTTCCTGTTCACTTACCAGGCAGTCCAGTTGAGAGACAGGGCTCTTGTTGCCAGGGTGGCTGATATCCCAGACTTTGACACACCCCTTCCCACCTGTGTACACGTGTCTTGTGGGGTTGCTGATGGTAACTGCACACACGACTTCCCCATGGTTCAGAGTGTTGATCTGACGGGCATGGCGAGGGATCCCTGGACCAATGAGGGCATCGGGAGGGAAAGGTACAGGCTGCATCTGACCATCTGCACTTACATGAAATGAATATGCTCTTTTGGGGGAAAGAAAGAAGGGAGAGGAAAAGAATAAAATCATCAACCAGTTACACTGCCCAAATGCATGAAAAAAAAACATAGTATTTTTGCAATTGCTTTCTTACCAATCTTTTTTCACATAAAAACCAAAGCTACAGTGCCAAGTAGTGCAGACCCAACCCCTGACCAGCCACTACATTTGCAGACTTCTTCCATGGGACTTGCACCCATTGCCCTGCAGTAGAACTAGCTCTGGTGCAGAGTCAAAATTAAACTTGCACTCTATTTCTACACCTCATCTTTAACATCAGCATTAGCTGTGCTCACATGCATGTCTTCAGTTGGGAACTAGCACTTTAAACTGAAAACATAAACATGCAGAGTGCACATACACATATCCCTTTCATTAGAAGCCTGATACCATATTCAGGAAAACATAATTAAGAGAAGTAGTATTTTGGAAAAACTGAAAGGCTCTGTTTCCCAGGTATTTTTGGCACTTGTGTAACATCTCTTATACTTAAAAATCACGCAGTGAATACAAATATGAAAATCGAGGGTTAAGGAGTTAAATACCAGCACTGAATAAAATAACAAAAATAAATAAATAAAGCAAGCACACCTCCTTGGGGACAGAAGTTACACAAGATATTTCTTTGCACTCACTGTGATGTCTGAAGTCAGCTCTACAAGGACTAGGGCACAAATAGCAGCTAATGAAGGTTTCGGGTTTAAGGTTTTTAAATAATAATGAAAATACTACTGCAAAAAGGCTGCTGTTTATTACAATGGTGAGATTTTTTTTTTTGGTCTTTTTGTTTTAAGTGCATACATAGTTCACATTTTCAGACATTCCTGTCCCTTTTATAGCATTCTCCAAGAGACCAAAAATGAATACAAATGGTGAGATATGAGTTCTCCTTTTACCACTGAGCTACCCTTTCCCTAGTGATACTTTATTTTTCTAATATATTCTTATGTTCAGAACCGTCCTTTCTTTTCCAAGTGTACCTTTCCCAGAAATCTTCAGTCCTTGAGTTACAAGTTAAAGTTTAGCATTGCATCAGTCTTCCCCAGACCCAACAGTAGATAGTTCAACTTCATTCTCATTTCTGAATGAGTATTTTCAAAGTATTTTATTGCACATTCCCAAATATTGCACATTTTGGAAGAATAGAACAGGCAAGAGGTCCAGATCTGTAATAGACATCATAACATACACCTGGTGTCCTTTCCTAAAGCAACTGAATATGTCCAGGAGCAGAGCAGAAGATCCTCCTTTAAAAAGGACTTAGAAGAAAGCAGAAAAGACTTACTCTACTGTTCTTTCATATAGGGAAAAAAAAGGGGGGGGTAGAGAAACAGTTGCCCCATGCAATATCACTGTTCTCTCAGTAGAGAAGGGGAAAAAAGCTGGGGATGAAGAGTCACTGCTATTAACCAAAAAGAAGAAAGGAAGAGTGCCTGCACATGCAATTCTGCACATCATTCCTGTTTCATGGTTGGACGTGTGAATTAAAGACATGCTCAGAGAGTACACAGAAATGGAGGATGAGCAAGCATGAAAGATGACAAATAAAAGAAATGGGAAATGCAAGATAAGAAAGGAAGCACAAAGTTCACTCCCTTATGACCATACAATCTGCACAGCACATCAGATGTATTTCTTCCCATGGGACCCTTTCCTTTATCATTGCTGTAATTCTGTGTCCTAAAAAAGGCTACACTAGAAATCTGTACCATTTTTGTGAAGAGTAGAGATAAAACTGTCTCAAAGTAGTTATTCACTAAATAGATGAGACAAAGGATGAGAGAAGAAGCAGAAGAGGAGCAGCAACAAGACTGCTCAAGGCTGAACAACTGCTCAGGTCCAGGTACAGAATCCAACTACAGAGTCATTGCACTTAAGAGGCTGGAAAGCACCACCCCATCCTAGACTACAGATCAAAGTCAGTTGCAGAATATTTGTTAGCAACAAGAGTACACAGAACCACGCAACTTTGAAGTCTGTCCATGTTTTTAATCACTGACAGAAGAAAAATAATTAAGCAAGTATCAAGCAATTTTTCCTATCACGTTTAAGATGAATAATCCATCTGCATTTTTTTTTTAAACATGTTAAAGAAAGTTATACCTTGAAGGTACTTTTCAATTCACAATATTTTTAAAAAAATCTGGTGTTTTGAAATGCCTCTGTGCATATACATGTGTAGCTTCCCAGTTCTTGGCTGGGATGTGGTGGGAGGAAGACAATAGGAACATTTTTCAAGTGCTTCATGTATACTATAGCATTAAGAGGACTTTTTACTCTGAAACGCCAACAATTCGACCCAACGTATTTTAAGCACGTATAAGTTTGCCATGTTAAGTATGCCATGTTCAAAGTGTGGTTATATACATCATATTACTACTTTCAGTTTTACCATCACCATCTGGCATTTGCTTCCAAGATTAGTCATCACTCAGGATGACTGAATTTGAAGGCCTAACAAACAGATCAGCCATAGTTTCACACAAGTCAACCTGCACTGTAGCAAAAACTGTCTTATCAGCAATCCACTGTGCAAAGAAACGGCTACTCACTGCCAAACTCCCCTACTGACACAAGCACACAAACAACTAAATGTTCCCATTTGTTTGAAGGTAAGTGGTATGTCAAGCTAACACAACCAATGTTAACATACTTGCATTCTCCAGTAATTTGTATCTACTAGGTAATATGGTATAACGTTTCTTTACTGGCACCTTTTTCTTTGAAAAAGGCTTGTTTCATTTGCCACACTGACACTCCTTAGATAACAACAGCTCCCATCTTCAGAAGAATGCAGTACTAGTGGTAGCAGTGCAAATGACTATTTGCAGCTCCAGCACTCTGTTGCTCTAGGCTACCTCTATATCAGGTCACCACGTCAGATTGCCTACTCCTTGACTTCTGAGGAGAGCTGTATTTCCAGGACCACACCTAAGTATCTTGAGGTATACATACATATGATTGGGAAATGACTTAATTTTTAATGCACTAAAGATATTCACAGGCTTGAATCCTTCAAATTGATGTGCATTTTCGGTTGCCCAACCCTAAAGGGGTCAATATTTAGTTAAATTTAGTAAGTTCTTGAGTTCTCTAGAGCCTGACTTGATGATTTCTCATCAGGCACCCCTTGACACCTCCCAGCCTACCTCCTCCTCAAACTGCTATGCACATTTGAATTCCATAACACCACAAAATTACCATGTGCATGTTTGTCCTTTTAAAAGGATCTTGTAGAACTGACAGCTTATGCCAAAAACTATGTTTTTGTCCACAGTACTCTGTCACTAGGAGATGACTGGGCTCCATGATTTTCCATCTCTGGTGAAATGATTTCTAATATATTAAGATAGCCCCTCCTCATGTTGAGTTAACACACACAGCAAACAAAGAAAAAGTTCTTATGCAATGTTGTTATAAGCTAACATAAAACATGCTAAGTAGATATTAGCCAATGACTATATTTACACTTGTAGCTAATTGTATATTATGAGAAAATTTAAATAACGTTTAAAAACTGTACTTGTGTTAAGAACAAAAGATGAACAAGTTTAGATCAGATTAGAATAGCTACAAGGCAAGTTTACATGGCTTTTATTTAAGGGGGATTCTGAGAAATAATATACTGTCACCTATGATTACATCCCCTCTGAATAAGGGGCAAGCTTCATGATTCATTCTCCTTCTGATCTATTGTATCCAAAAAGTTTTTTTCCTCCCCTCTATGTCAAGGAAGCACTGAGAACCTGCAGAATTCCCATATATTACAACCTACTAAGGTTGTAAAACTAAAAAATAAACTTTTTGTAAGACTAAAAGGCAACTCTGTTTACCAGCTTAAATCTAGTAATTTTGACCCTCCAATTCCCAAGTTCAAAAATATATATCCACCAACATGCTGAGGACAGCCCATAATAGCTTTCCCCTCTTTTCAAGGAGATTTTTAATAGAACAGTCTTCCACACGAATTTATTCCTCAAGAACATGACAAATTGACTGAACTACCTACCTCTTAACTACTCCGAGTACTCAGATTGATATAATACATGCAGTTCTTAAAGTATCATGCCATCAAAACAAAAAAAAAACCCACACACTCAGCTTCCACTTCATCCCTCCAATTCAAACAAAATTCCTAAACTAGCACAAAAATACCTCAACTGCAAAACACAAAAGCAGACAGTTCCTTCTGTTGATGACTGCATTTTACTTTCAGTTCTTTGTATACCAGTTTATTTTTAGTTAAAGTTATCACAACAAACATCGAATATCTTTGAATATCTGAGTATGGTATTTCATTATATAGGACAAAACGTCAACAGTTAGTAATCAAGGTATTCATATAGGACTAACAAATCCTTTTAACTTCATAAATGGCATCAAATCATTCTATCCAGAGATTTTGGGGGGGGGGGGTTGTCTTCCTTTAAAATATTCCTCACTGTCCATTCACTCAACAAATGTAAAGATAAAATTGTTTCAGTTTTTGTCTTAAGCAATCTAGTTTACAATTCCAAAATGGTATACTATTCCTTTCTGAAAAGCAATGCTATCTGAACACAGTGAAAAGTCAGCTCATAACTAGAATCTGCAGAGTTTACATTTACCAAATGAAGTCTTCCTTTTCCATGAAAGGGAAAACTTGCATTTCGACTCTATCTGATGTCTGTCTGTAACACCTCATGCTCCAAATAAAAGATTTGAAAAAAACAGAAAAATAGATTTGTCCTCATTACTACCATTACTTAATAATTTAAGACACCAGAGAGGCATGACTGTGGGTACAAATCTCACCACCAAACTGGAATATCCATGCTTAGTGCACCATCCAACTATTAGAAGTTGTGGTTCACATCATGGAGAAATCCACAAGAATGTTACTTTAGCAGCTGTAGAAAAGTAAAAGCTAAATAATTACTTCACTAGAAAGGCTATACAGAGCAAAAAACATGAATACAGCACCACACCAAGAATTTACAGTTCAGGGCATAGTTAGATGTACTGAAGTGAAAAAAGGACAGAGTGCAAAACTCTGACACCACATGATCACGTCCAAAAAAATAGTACTGATTTCAGAGACAGAAGAATTACTGATTAGGTGATGACAAGACAACTTGAGGGGAGGGGAAAACACACACAGAAGAGCTGCTAAGAAAAATACCCACTGGCAGCAAGCAATTGTGAAACAGAATATTAAAACATTTTATGCACATTCATACACCCATATATCAAGTCCCTGTCCACAAAAGTAATTACTGAACAATAGCTGAGAGAAAACAAGTATATAAGATCACATAGCTTCTTCAAAACAGTGCTGTCAATGATCTGAAACATGAAGCCAAACATACTACTGTTAGAACGTTGAAAAAAAGTTAATAGTCGAGAAGCGATTAGTCAAATGGCAATAGGCATTAACAGCAACTGAAGACAGAAAAGAAAACTAGGGTGTGTGTACACAAAGGTATTGAAGTAATATAGTAAAATCCTGAACAACCTCAGAGAAAATGCAAAAACAAACCCCCCCCCCAAAAAAAAAACAAAACACCATCACACATCCCCCCCCAAAAAAAAAACAAAACACCATCACACATCCCCCCCCAAAAAAAAAAACACACACACCTGCTATCAAATGCCAAGACTAGCTCATTTGTATAAACAAGAAATTGGTCAAGACACTTCAGCTTTCTAGATTGCTGCACAATTCCCGACCCCCTCTGTACCTGCTAGCAAGATTAGACTCTGAAGAGAGCAAAGTTGTCAGATTCACATTCAGAAGCATAAAAAGATGGTGATAAAGACCTACATTTAGTCAAGCTACAAAACAAGTCAAGTGACAGACAAGCTTTTCAGACAAAATTCCCTTGATAAGAGGAGATAAACAAGCAAGAGCAGGCCCAAGGGGCTACTAATTTTTCCTAACAATCTAGTCATTTATAGAGATATTGGAGTATACAGGGGTTAAAGAAAACTGTGTGCTATCAGAAATGCCATTCCTTTGGAAAGAGGGGAACTTAATGTTCTCTTGGAAGTAAGGCTGAGTGGAAAAAAATAGCCCCCACATAACTATTGATAATAACCTGCAGCAATCAGCAGACATATATGGCTGGGGATTCAATAGTTCAAACTGAAAATGTCTCTGTACCACCTGTAACAAGACTCAAACTAAAACTCCATATCTCATAATAAATTAAATGCAGCACCTTAACTGGTCTCTAGGATAATGCAGATTTTGAATTAAACCAAGAACTCCCCTTTACTCTCCATGAATTTGTAACAGATGTACATTGTATGGCTAATATAGATTTTCCTAATGCAAATAAGAGATACTTTCAAAGATGCTGCAGGTAATAGACAGCATCCAGATAGTTGTGGTTAAACAGAACTAAAACAAGAAGCAATTCTAAAGTTGTCGACAGAAAGGTAACAGTTCAGCTTCTGGAATTTTAGGCTTATCTCACTTATAGCAAAGGCAAGCAAAGAAGTTGCTTCAGAGGAAAAAAACTGAGTCAGTCAAAGTAATGTGACTATGAAACATATTACTGAACATACCAAATCAAGTGGAGATTAGGGAAAAGTCAGAGTAAGTGATCTAAGAAGCAGTATGAATAAAATACTGAAGAGAAATAAAGCAGATCAAATTAGATATGAAATATCAGAATACAAAAGTATAACAGTATACATGCACTGTTTGCCTTGAATAGTGCAACAGCTAGAACCTGACCTCCTTCCTCAGTGCAGTTCTTACTGAACGAAAATAGGTTTTCATAGCTTGTAAAATATATTGCTGTGGTTACTAATGAAATAAAAGTTATTGAATGTTTGTGAACACACTGGTTTAAAAGTAAAATTACAGTCATAGGATTTTTTTGATTTCCAAAAATATTTTATATAAGGATGCCAAATTTTACTGAAGTCAGCAAGAAGGTGTTTGGCCCTTAATAAAGGGAATCTGTTTTCAGGACAAAGCATGTTCCTTACTGTACTAAATTTAAACATATCACCATCTGATACATAACACCAACTTGCAGACCCTTCACTTCAGTAATACCATCAACATATCACCAGCTTTTCTTGAAGTAAATTCAGATTTAACAGGTTTCTCACACTGCCAGATAGCTAAGTTTGTTCTTGAAAGCATGGCAGATAACAACAAAAACACATTTAGGATGGCTTTTCTAATGCAAGAAGTCTGCTGCTTTCTTACTGCTATGCAAAAAAAGAGTAGGAGAAAACACATGCTTTACTGCCTGTAATCTGGTGTACACTTTTCAGAATGCTGGAACAATTGACATTATAACTTATCACTAGCTATCAATGGGAGGTCAAGAAGCAGAGGCACAGAAATCTGTGCGTGTGTAACTTTCACCACAGTAAGCATTTCTTATAAACTTACACAGCATCCTAAAAGTAAGTTTCTGAATTTTTCTGAAGCTGCAAAAGGAAAAGTGAAATCATACAGGCAGGCTTCACAAAAGCCTCACAATGGTTTGGCACAGAAGACAGCATGTACCAAGAAAACCCAACATAGGAAGCACAAAACATTAAGTGGGTTTCAAAAATATCTATGTACCTAGTTAGAGAAAAACCTATATTCCTGCTACTTCCTGTTGAAAGAAGAGAAAAGACTAGATGTCAAGCATGAAGGGACAAAGAACAGGTTCTAAAGGAACGTCCAAAGCTGCTATAATCTTTTCTGCCCTTCCCTCCCCAAGGAAACAGATTAGTTGAATTTACACAGTATGTTCCGTTTACATCTATGTAGACTAGTTGTTCAGAAATACAAACCACACGCACCAAAAGCAAAAACCAAAACCCACCCTCAGATTTAAGAGGTCATGTATCCTCATGACTCTACTATATATGGGTATACTTGGTCTCAGTCTACCATAGCCAAATTACGGAAGACCTCAATATATGCTGTTTCAGTGCAAGTATTTTTATTATAACATCGGCAAGCCACATCACAGAAGTAATTTATTCAAGCATCCTTTCACCAATAAACTGTTGCGAAAGTCATCTTACATCTATGCACCATCCACTGCACAACTGTTTCCTTATCCTTTTCCTCTCCAGCTGCATACTTCCACAAATGTTATTTAGTGCTTGCTCTGTTATGCAATGTGTGTATCAGCTGCCAAAGTAACTGCTTCAGATACCCACTGTGATCAACAGTTTCAGACTCTCACACCTGTTAAAACAGCTGTCAGACAAGGAGTCTGAATTTGCATTACATGTTTATGCTCACTATGGTATGAATTTTAGTTTCAATCTGTTCTATCTTACCCATTTTACCACTGTCTACTAGTTTACAATTCCCTTAGCCTCCTCTAGAAAGGAAGTTTAAAAAAAAAAAAAAAGTCACACCCCCCCCCACCACACAACAGCAAGAGAAGCTACCAGTTGAGAATTTATACATGCTGTATTCCTTATCACTCTTGGGAACAACCAAGACACAACTCCCTTTGGAATTCTTGTTCACTGACACGAAATAACTATGGTCTCTAAATGTTGCAGACATTACCAAAGTGTTACTTACGGTTTTCCCCCAGGAATCCCTGCTAGATTTTGAGGGATTCCAGGTACTCTCATGTGAGGAAGAGGATCAAACCCAACCTGACAATGAAAAAAATTAATCTCACACTTGCAATCTCTCATTTAACAAGTCCCTTTTCTTCACCCCCAAAGTGTTATTCATTTAAACAAAAAGAAAAATTTAATCACAGTATTAGAGAAGTAACCACAGTATTTCTTTTCTTTTTTTTTTTTTTTTTTTTTGGGGGGGGGGTTAAAAAAAAGATTTTTTCCCCACACTTCCAATAAAGTTTTCATATTCAAATAGAAAACCAGTAACATATATCAAGTATCCACATCACATAATAAAGCATAATACAGAGATCCTTTTGCTAACACTAAGCTAGCTCCTCCATTGGAGGCCATGTTGTGTTGGCCTGTGGCCAAATGAGTGTTCTTTAGCTCGTGACAGCTAACGCTTACCCATATGCAGGTACAGCACAGTGCTCAAAAGCAGCTTCAGGCCCCTGCTAGAATCTCCAAATCATACCATACTGCACTGTGTGGGCACATCAACTAACAGATCTCTCACCGAGTTACACCACAGGGTACACACAAGTCCATCTACAGCTTTAACATATTACATAGGCTCTCTTCACATGCTGCAATTCCATTAAACTTATATCCTGAATAAATATGTACATCAAATAATCCAAACAGGGATTCTGGACTAAACACGTTTATTTTTTCTTCTGATACAGTATGCTTAAGTTACATTTCTTATTGCTTTAAGGAGAACATATGCTATTTAGAATTTCCACTTTTTCAAATAAAAGCCGTTTTCCAGTTTGAAAAAGTAGCCTTACCCTACAGCAATGAGGGAGATAACACAAACTTAAATCCAATCTTGCAAATTCACAAGTAGGTAAGTCTGAGCTTGATGGCAGCTTTATGCGTGCACATGTTTGCAGAATCAGGCCCTTAGGTTAGTCCGCTCAATAGTGGCGATGACTACTACGCTCCATTTACTTATTACACCCACAAGAGCAACAAGGACTATTCTTAATACATCTTATCACAGAGCTTCAAGACCTGTACCAACTAACTTCTCACATTGATTTCAATAAAAAACAAAATAAAGGCAGAAGTTGATAAAAAGATTTCTATGTGCTTCAAGATTAATTTAGGAAGCCTGTACAGCACACAAACCTGATTCAGTAAGAGAAAAACAGATGTCCAGAGCACCAATGAAGTGCTTTGTAGCTACCAACACTACCTTTTCATTTAAAGTATATACAAATAGTTTGGCATTTATTAATGATCCAAGGCACTGATGAAGCTTAACAAAAAAGGAGATATACATAAATACACTGAGATCCTTTGTTTTCAAGGTACAAGTTTGTTTCTCCAGGCATGCAGCAAAGTGAAACACAGTGAAGCAGTCAAGCGTCTAGTGTTATAACTTGGAAATTCGACAATATTAAGTGAAGCATGTAGCTCTTCTCAGTAAGCCACAACCCACAAGATTGAGATTGCAAGCAACGTATGGCATACCATAGGAGATCTTCCATAAGCAACCACAGCAGCTGCAGCAGCACTCATCTGGGGGGACATATTGTGCAGACTGGCATAGGCTGCCCCCGGACTGGTCAGCTCTCCATTCATGCCAGCATGAGGTACCATTCCAAATGGAGCAGGGTACGGTCCAGGTACTGCCAAAGGCGCTCGCAAACCTGCAGCTGCAGAAGAATGAAATCAAAGTACTTTTATTTTTATTTCCTTGCACAAAGAGAGGAAAACAGTTCTTTTTTCTACAGTACCTAACCTTCCCCCCCTCTACACACACTGCCAAAAAACATTGCCATATCTCATCACTACCACCTCTTTTCACTCAGTGTAAATAGAACCTACTGAAGTCTGAACTTGCTGATTACTTCTAACAATCTCTATTAGTATTACTTATTTCCATCTTCGTAATATTTCCCTGTCTACATTAATCACTCCTTTGCCAAATTAAGCAGTAAAGCTGACAGACACTGTTTACACAGCTTATGTTGAAGCAACTGCGCTGTACCAGCCTGAACAGCAAGAGTAAAACTTCATCCTGCATTTGTCAAAATTTATACTGCAGCAAATATTAGTAGTCCCAGACAAAGAGCTAGAAAAGAGACTGCATTCAGAACAAGCACCAGAAACTTCCAAGTCTTTCTATATTGCATAAAGTCTCTAGATTATTTGTAAAAGAGATAGAGACAAAAGTAAACAAAAGAACATAAGACAAAGATATTCAAACGCTTGATAATCCAAACATCTGCTTCTCATCAAGCCTTAATATCAAGAATAAAGCAATACACTTACTTAACATTCACATAGACCTACGTATGTAAAAAAAGATTAATGCTGGAACCATAAAAACACAAGAGGTAATGCATTACCAGCTTGATTAACGAGAGGGTCCATTGTTGGAGGCCTGCCAAGGCCTGGACGAAGTCCTGGAGTTGCACTAGTGCCCAAGGTTGGCACATCGCTTCGAGGAGTTGGTGTGCTGGATTTCAGAACAGGTGTGCTGGCTTTTTCACGCTGGTATCATTAAATAACTTAAATCAGTATTATTTTTAATCTAGGCCATATTATACAATTTATCACAACAGCAGCTGGGATGCTGGGCACCCACTACCTACTCCCTCAGCCGATTTTCATAAACGGACGCAATGTCGATAGCATTAACTTGCAAAAGAGAAACGCTGACCTCTATTATTGCCAAAATTAAAATAAGTACAGAGATGTAGAGTTATTTTTCCTTTCTTCCATTGGCATGAAGAAAAGGCATGAGCTAATTTTTCTTCAGGACAATACAGTATGCAACATCAAGTTGAAACATCATTTTGAAATCATTATCATCTCAAATATTATTGACACAACAGATTTAACTACAAAAATAGAAAAGTACCATAGATGCTGATATCAAAAAAATTGCAATACTTTAAGGGCTACAGAGATTCTGATCAAATTATTAATGATACTGCAGAAAGAAAATTTTCAAAGAGTAACAGCTTATTTAGAAGAACGTAAAAGTAGCCTGGATAACTTCTTAGTGGCTATGTGCAGATCTATGGAGGAATTAAAGCACAAGTTATTGCTCAAAAAAGAAAGCAATGCTTAAATCTTGGGAGTTATATAATAAATTTGAAACTTATTTGACATAAATGCAAGAAACATAACTTCTGCTTCATGCTGATTTCTTATTACTGAGGCTGAACAGTACTGTAAAGATCGGGAAGAACAGTAGTTATTTCAGCTTCAAATGTTTAAAGTAATTTGCTTTCCGCCAAAAATTGTTGCAGGACAAGGAAGAAGTAGACCTTACATGCAAAAATAACATTTCTTTGGACTACAGACTGCTTATAACACCCACCAAACTCATTTCTTTGGATTTCAAGGAAGTGGAACTTCCTGAAGAGGCTGTAGATGCTGGACTGCTAGAGGCATCCTTCTTCAGCAGGCGGCTTTTATCTATACCATTTTCATGTGGTGAATGAGCAGGACTTGCCCGTGGGGAAGATGGATCCTAAACAACAGGAAAGGAACAACAGTACAGAAGCGTGTTATGGATTGGTACACAAACACCGCTAAGGAGTTGGGAAGGAGGGGATCCTAGAAGGATCCAAGCATTAAGTTCAAATGAAGAGACATTTTGTTGTCTCTATGCAAAAAGGCTTAAAACCTTTCATTAGTTTAGTGTAGACATAAATAAGTTCATTTAGTAAGCAATCTGGATTTATTTTAGATTGTATGTAACCGTAAACTTCTTCCAAGCATAGAGCTTGCTAAGTAAACATAAGTACAATTTAAGGAAAGCGTGCATGACAAGCAATAAGAGCAAGACAGACCAAGAGTAATAGTAATGTTTACACTGTTTCCATATGTCCTCCACATACTGCTAGTGGACAAACATTTCAATAATCATCTTTCTTAGGCAATACACGCTTTCCTCATCTCTACCTCCAGAGGAAGTGACAGAGACACATGCTTTACATGCCATGATATCTATTTACTACTTCTTTCTACATACCAACTGCAATTGCATCACTACTTACATCTTCAGAAAAATCTAAAATCATCTCTCAGGTGATTATCTTTTTCTCTTCCAGAGGCACTCTCTGCTTTTACTTTATCCCAAAATATCCTGCCCAGCAAGCTACAAAGCCATCACAGCTCTGCAGGTTCTCTATGCTCTTTCTACTCACAAGAGGAGCAGCAGGGAGGGAGCAAGTCCTCACAAGAGGGCAGTAAGTCTACTGATTGATTATTGAGCAGTATCATTATAACCAGGGCTTCCGAGATCATTAAAAATCTCTAGTTGGATACTCATTTTTCCTACCTGGCTGACATCATTTGGGCACTTGGAGCTGCAAGAGACACTTCCTCTCTGTCAGCTTCTGTACCTGTGCTTTTTAAAGAGCATAAGAATCTGTTCTGGCATACTCAGGCTTCCTAAATCTTTTGGCTGTATGAGATAAAAGATTAAGGGGAAGGCCAGTTCCTTCGCCTTGATGCCACTGCCAAACAGTCCCTTCACCTTGATGCCACTGCCAAACTTCTATTCAGGGGAGTGAAGTTGCTACAATTTGGGAAAATTTTGCAAACAGAATTTGGGACAGTTTAGCTGACTTCATTCATTGCATTTGTGGCAAAAGCTGTCTTTAAAATTACAAATATTTTAACTTCCTACTTTAAAGCCACCAAAAGTGTTATTAATACTACTGTTAATAACTACAAGGTCAAATATTGTCTTTCCTTTTCATTTGAAGAGAGTAGTTTAAAAACCTCAGTCCTCCACCTGCATCTCACCACAACTCTCCCCACTATAGAACAGCTGTGAAATGTCAGAACATAACTGCTGAGAGAACAGACATGGATAAAGCAGTAGCAGGAAAAGCAGAGAGGGCAACCAGATAAAGCAAGGAGGAAGATATAACAACTGTGGTATTAACAAGAAAGGAGAAGTTGTGAATATTTTAATATATCCACATAGAGTGTTTTTTTTCAATCTAACTAAATGCACTTTAATGTTTGGGCAAATGTTAAGACTACAAAAATGAAAAGAGTTACCTCATTGGATACATCTACAACCAAGTTATCGTCACTCTTGTCCCCATCACTGTCCTATTAAAAATAAAGTGTTCATTTCAATTCATACATTAAGAGCCTAGAGAGAAAGACTAAGAAAAAACAAAATATTTGAGCAGAGGCCTAAACAAAAAGCAAAGAGCCTTTCTTTACTTATTAGCGATAGGGCAAACAAGATGAAAACAGGAACACAACACCTTTCTAGTACTTTAACAATAAAACCTAAATGAGGTAGGACTAGTTTAATGCTAGTCTCGCCAGTCAGAAAACCCTCCTGATTACTATCATAAACAGTGTTGCCATTACTATTTAAAAAAAAAAAAAAATTAACTCTATTCATCTGCTATTTAGTCTTATGAGGCTTATTGTTTAACGTGTGTACCTAAAAAAAAATCCCAACACATCTCAAAATTCCATTATTTTGACATTTGGTTTATGAATCAACTCCCCCAAAATGATAGGACAATTTTTTTCCTTCTCCAGAAAGGAAAGTTTTGAAAATAGAAATTTCTGGGGAAGAAAAAAGTCCAGAAATGTCAAGACATCAACATTTCTGCCTAACAAAACCAAAACACTTTGACGTTCTCGAATTGAAATGTTTTATTGTGGCTTGTCATGCTGAATTTTGACTCAGTTTCACTTTAATCTCTGTTCACCTGGGCTGTCCTAGTGCCTCATGGAAGCTGTTACTCAAGTGCCTTCTGCTCCCTATCTCCAAAACAGGCTAGGATTCCCTGTTGGACACATCCACATGATAAACTGTGGTCCAGTGATTTCTACCATGCACCATGGTGGTTCAACCAGAGGTGAGACTTGACAGAAAAATCAGGAGAATGACAAAACTTAAACTTTCCCATGGGAAAGTTAGACATTTCCAAGAACTGTATTTTTAGTTTAAAAAGTTCCTAGGAAAACAAATCAGACATGCAAGAGACTGCTCAAATTGTCCCCCATGTCTTGAATTAAATCAACAATGCTTTCAAAGTATCTGGGCTATCACACTTAACTCTGGCAGCCAGAAAGGAAAACACCAGTTCCTTCCTTTAACTCCAGGACATCAGTGTTAAAAGAGCAGGTGGTTTCACCCCTTCCCTTTTGCTTTAAAAAATACTGCAAGCATAGGAAGGCCTGAAGAGTGCCACTGGAGACAGAACAGTGGCTCTATTTGTCACTATGGGAAGCTGTCCATCCAAAGGGTGCAACAGGAGAAGGAACAGGAAAGCTCCAGTCCCAGGTATTTGCCACCAATTGAAGAGTATGAAGCACACAGAAGGCAAGAATAGGTGCATGTGGGAGACCTGCCTCAGCACAGTTGGGGGGGGGGGGGGGAAAACATTCGTGCACCTCTTATAGTTTTTATTTATATCAGAAGACTCTCTTATAGCTAAACAAACTTACAGGTTGTGACTTGGATAGTTTCAACATCAAAATTTGAGTCAGAAGTCAAAAAGGAAAACTGTGAATTAAATGCCTTATTTCCAAAGCAACAATTCCTACTACTCATTTATCTCCCTTTTAATAAAAGTGGCTCCTCCTTGTCCCTACAAGGGCCACTTCTAAAAAGCTGATAATCAGCATCTCTGTATTTGTAGTTTGAAGTCAGGTTTCCTCTTTTAAAGGTTCCTTGCTCCAAATAAGAATAATCTGAAACTTTCATATAGCTTTGTTTCGCTCAATTCTTTATTTTGTTGGTGTCTACCTGTAAAATCCATCTCAAGAAAACAACACAAGACTGCACATGTAAAATGTTGGTAAACAAAAAGCAAAAAAAAGCCACCACACACAACACCACCACCACTTCTACAATGCAATATCCTTTCCATTCCTTTCCAGTAGGAATGGAAAGGAGAAAAAAAAAAAGCAAGCAAGATTTAAGTTTTTAAATGTAGCTTAAGCATGCTTAAACTTTAAATATTTAAAGATTTAAAATACCCCTAGAATATCAAGTCCTCAAAGCTGAGGGAGTAGCATGGGTTAAGTTTGCCAGACCCTTTCGTAATCAAAACTAGGTTATTAGAAAGCAGTGGAAATAGGACTCGCAAAGCTGCAACAGTAATACAGCACCACAATGTGTGGAAAGGGGAAAGTAACCCAATCTGCTGTCAATGGCTCCACTGCTCAAATGTTACTGACAGCAGACCTTCCTGCCCAGGGATATCCTGGGTCCAAGCAGAAGAGAAATTCTACTGCCAGATACTGATGAAATATAGTAGCACCTAATTTTCTCTTTGGTTTAAGTAACCAGCAAGTAATTAGTGATTCAAGTCATTTAAAGCAGACATTTCTACCACACTATGTCAAAGGATAACATAATTTGTTAGATTTAAGTTCTACTTTTCAGTACTCTTTCAATTCAGATCAGCCCTATTCTAAGGCCTGTTCAAGTATCCTCCTGTTATTTGACTGAGGATTTAGACTTGCCTCTGAGGTTCACATGGGCCACTGTTCTATTGAAGTGCCTTTTTGAAACTGAGAAATAAGCAACACCAGTCAAAATGCAGAACACAAACTGAACCTTTTATGCTTTAGTTTGCTTTCTACTGAAACTGCCATATCAACAAAAAGCAAACTTCAGGAAATTGGTACAGCCCTCAAAACACATGCAATTTGTGATGGTCATTATTACTCAACATGGTAATAGTTAATCTCAGAAATTTACTAACACCCCCTGCCTTCCCTCTCTCCCAAACTAAAATAAAAAAACTCCCATCTCCAACAAACCTGCAGCACAGTAGCAGGTTTTACAGCAACCCAGAAAGGTTCTTTTGCTGAAACTCAGAAATGGATCCTAGAACACTTACAAATCAAAAACAGGTACTCCTGTCTCCTCCTTCCCTGTTGAGGGGTATAACTTGGCAAGAGCCAAAACTATTGAGTCACTGCTCTTTCCACAACATGAATAATGGTCTCTCTAGCACATATATTCATGTACTACATCAGCCATATGAAACCTATTGCCTTGTTCTTCACAGCTCTTTTACCCCTCATACAAACACAGTATCTGCAAACAAATTAATCATTTCTTTGACATGAATTTGCTTACATAGTGGCTGGAATCCTTATCATCCACCTTTCTCTTTTTGATGTCATTGGCATATTCAGGCCCATTCCTGCGTTTATCTGTGCTTCGCAGGCTGTCCGGGACCAACAGAGCATTAGTCTGTAAAGACAAAAACAAGGTCAATTAAAAAATTCCTTTCAAGATTCCTTTGTATACACATAAAAATTCAAATTGGATGTGATAGATGCTTTAAAAATGTGATACCTACATAGTCTTTCATTCCATTTAATTCAACTCAAAGTCTTCAAGGCAAACATGTATAGCTTCATGCATTCTAAAGAGGAAGCTTAGCTTTTCATTGCTCAACTTACCAAAAGTTTATTTCACTTATCAGTCACCATCTATTTAACTACTTAATTCAACTGAATTTATTGTTTAGGAGAAGCAGACTTGCTGTTTATTCATGAGCAGGTAAGATTTTTTTTTTTTTTTTGTATTACAGATGCCATATAATCAAAGACACTTAAATACAATCTGATTGCTTGCTTACTTGTAGATCATCATAAATAAATGAGGCTTTGGTATGTCTACACCTGCAGGAATTGAGATAAAAGGCATGTTGCCATATAACTCTTAGATAACAAGTAAATACTAAATAAGGTTATCCAGTACTCATTTGTTAGCTGTGGTAAACTCAATTAGATGCCTTCAACAAATTTACTGCAAACAAAGATCAAGTATCTTTACTGCCAACATAATTTCACACTAGTGATGAATGTTAAGGCTAAAATGTTGTTTAATCAGGCTTGGTCTGAAAAACCGAGGCCAAGAGACACACAGAAGACAAGAGCAAAGACTAACCTTTTCCTCAAACTACATGGGCTACTTTCATTCAGATATGCTAAGTACAAACTGTTGACCCAAAGATATTTTAGATATTTTTCAGTCACATGATAATTTGACATGCCTGCATTCCCATCTCCATTCCAGCTAAAGCATTAAAACATGTTACAATGAGTTCTTTTAAGTGCAGGATTAGCATATGCAAGAGGGCATTTTGTTCAGTGATGTGTTAATGCTGTGAACAGTACTAAATTGGGGGCGTTGTGGCGGGGGGGGGGGGGGGAAATATATATATCCTTTCACAAAGACCTGGTAAGCCTAGTTTCTAAAAGCCAAGTACATGCTTACATAAATAAGTATATACTCATATAAATACCAAATAAATACATATTTACATGTACACATGTTGATATTAGGCTTTCTTCTTGTGAGATATACATATATGCTATAGCGTACATACATGTAAGCCACAAAGGAAATATTTGTGCCTAAGAGTCAGAGAAATATTTACTCTTAATATACAATGAACATATACTAATAGCCAGTGAACTATGCACTGAATGGCTCCCCCTTTAAAATCTGAAAAAAATCACCACGGTAGTTTTGAAGCACATGAGTGTTCAGTCTCAAGGAGATGGAAAACAGAACAGGGTACGTAAGGCAATCTGAATCCTCTTTTTCCTACTTCAGAAGCTGCACTTTAAAGCCAACTCTAAGCTCTTTTATTCATGAGGGGTTAATATAAAGCATATAGGAGGATCTAATGAAATTAAAGTATAAAGCAGTTCAAAATAATGTCTTTACCACGATGTTTTGTAGCTAAAAGGTGGCCTTGTTGGATCACTGAACTAATTGCCTCAATGAATACAGTCTGAATTTAACCCCTCATCTCCTCCCAAACAGGGGATTCACTGTTTTGGAAATACTTAAACCTATCTTTAACAAAAAAATTGAATCCATCATGTCTATAGCAGAACAGTTAAAAAAGCATGCTGTCAATTCAAACTTGACCACAGATACGAATAACGCAAATGACTTGTCATAAAACAGAAATCTTTTAAGAGAAACTTCCCTTTTCAAAAAAAAAAAAAAAAAACACACACACACCACACAGACTATTTCACTGCTGAAAAGATTAGAATTAAGTCAAATGTAGTAAAGTGAATAAACAAGTTTCTCTCTGAATTGCTGAAATTAAGTGGCAATAATGGAATGGTTGCAAGGGGGCAGCAGCAGCTGGGAAGAATTTAGCAACCCTGCTATTTGAAGTTATTACACAAAAGGTGTAGGGAGCAGCTTGCAAACTTTGGCATAAAGTACACATAATTAACAAGAGCTGAGGTTTTTTTTTTTTTTTTTTTTTTAAATGTTATGTTCTTTTCATGCAAATACTTGGATAAGAGTAAACATGTGTCTATGTAGATAATGCTGACAACATTCTGTACAATTTGTCTTCTAGAATTGCAATACTGAGAAAAATATCTTAACACTCAGAACTCAGACCTGATTTATGTAAAACACAACTAGCAGGTGAACATTCACACACAATCAGATCCTGCAATACTCATTACATCTAAAATCAGCTACAGTTAAAAAGCAAGAATACGAAACAGCCTTTGAGATGAATGCCTTTCTTCTGAGGACCAACTGACAAGCATCATCCAAGACTTACAGCATCTGGAACATGTTGTATAATTTCTGTAGATCCTACAATCTTCCAAATGCCAAATAAGGATTATTTGGTCTGATTTTTCTCTCAAAAGCTTGAGGACTAACCTATCATATAAATATAACAACAACGGAAACTCCTGACAAGCCAACTCTGCAACATCTCCCCCTATGGACATATTTACACTGGAATAACACTGCTTTTCTCTAACTTATCAAATTAAGGCACTCTTCTTTGGAATCACAGTATCCATGCTAGAAGCTATTATAGAACAACTTACTTCACAATAGCCATATTGACAATTGCAAATAACCATTCTGTTACCTGGGCAAAATGGATCATTAAACTCAATAACTAGATACTGGTTTTGTTTAAGGACTAAAAGGAAGTTTTAAAAACTGTGACCAAAATCTGATAAAGTATAATTTTTGATTATAAAAAAAACTTGTTTCTGTAAACTACTATTGTAATTGAAGTCATCAATTGTATAAGATTTCATTCAACAATATGAAGCTATGCATTCGTGTAAGTAGTGCTTCTAGTATATCCAGTACTTTCAGATGGGATTGACATCTCTGATGTTAACCAATTTGTCTGAAAGGTGCAAAAAAATTATACATATATACATATAGTCGATTTCCTCAAGAGAAACTGCATGACACCAATTTTTGTTTTGTCTTACTTTCAAGAGACTAGACTCATAATTGAGGATAATCCTTGCTTTTATACTAAGAACCTAATTTATTAGGTATTACCAATGTAACATCTGCAGACCGCATAGATCAAAACAATTAAAATTCATTTTAAATAAATGTTTTCTTTTTCCTCCAATGATTCAAAACTTATTTATTCACATGAATCCCCATCTTCAAATAAGTCTTGAAAGAAGAAAAAAGCTTAACGTAGCATTACTTCCTGTCAGTGTTGCCAGACTGCATAAAGGCTATATAACAGGCAACTTGGGATCTCAAAGCGACTTTGCTGACAACACAATTCAAACACTGAAACCACCAGCAGCAAATATGAAAGGAAAACTTAGTCATGGATGCACAGAGAGAAGGCAGGTTCTCTAACAGGAATATAACACACATTATTCAAAAGCACTTCTTTGGCTGCCACGCTGATTCCCCTGAGGGACTATTTCCAAACCACAAGTATGCATGTCAGAAGTACAGGCTAGGAGCCCGCAATACCTCATTTAGCCCCAGTTTAGTACAGTACAGATAACTCACTAGCACATACAGCACTAAATTAACTTTATACTGATCATTACAGCAATTAAATTAACAGAATTTACATCACATCTGTGCTTGTGATTCAACTACATCCGGTCCCAATTAAGACTTCTCTAGTGCTGGGTTCCCCCTTATCCCTCCCTCCCCTCTTCCCCCAAACACATACTTGGGCTTGCTCTGTGCTTGGTCATTCACTGACTCGCAGTACATGTAAACCAACTGCGACCACTGGCCATTACAGCCAGTTATGACAGCTGACTCAACTTGTACTTGTCCATATTGCCAAGTAGAGCTGTTTCGGTCATTTAATTACCACATCGGAGCTGAGCTGCTACACCACGCATCAGTGCTATCTACAGATATCCATATGTACCCAGAAACAAATATAATCCTTTGTTGAGTAGGCAAAACAGGATCAGGTCTACCATGTACAACCAAAATAGCAGATACCAGAAGTCCCGCTGCACACTGTCAGGACTCACAATGATATAAAGAGTACAAGTTGGAGGAGGGACTAGATACCCTCCCAGCAAAGCATAAAAAGATTGTACTCAATGAAAAAGTTATTCGACTCCAGAATCAATAACCTTCCTCTGCTGAATATGCTTCTTACAAAACAAAACCCCACACATGACAGCAAACCAGAAGTTCACCTATAAAGTGAATTGTTTTTGTTTTAAATGACTGGTTATGCAAAAACTACCAACTGCTCCCCCTTTTTTATCCCTCTACTGTAAGAGATTTTTAGACTAGTATATTATGAACATGAAAATCTAGAAGCTTAAATGGATTTGAGTCACCTTCCTTCTTGATCCAATATTCCAAAAATATTAACAGAGAATAAATAAGGCTTCTTTTGAATTCAGTATTTTCCAGCTAATGTTTGTCAAAATGGAGGTCAGAAATTATCCATAAATACTTAAGCTGGACCACCCCAATCCTTTGTTTTGTAACCTTTGTCACCAGCCATCAACTCATGCTGCTTTGCATCAGTTACAAGCTAAACTGCAACACAGCATCCCACAGCTCTTCTGCATGTTTAACTCC